CGGGTATCGACTCAAGCCGAGAGTATTACAACATTGAGCACAACTTTATAGGTTTGGCGTTAAGGAATCCCGGTCATAATTCTTTACCTCTCATTTCTTCAGCTATATACTGTTACGTTGCCCGTTGTCGTACCCAAGCCAAAACAACAAAAACGCGTTAATTACCTGTACCAGCATTACCAAGCCCACCGCCCCGTCAACAAATCACCACATCTAGGCCAACTCAAGGGCGCCACCATTCAGCCCTCTTCTGAATCCTGTCGACGCAGAAGCTGCCCTGCGCATCCCACTGCTCTCCACCCTCGTCAGACATCCCAGTCTCATCGTTAAGAATCAGGTCCTACCTGGGTTCTCGGTACGGTGGGAGACTGTAGGGTTGGAGGGAACCGGCCATTTCGCTCGCTGTTTTTCTCCACAACCACCCTCCATACCCTTCAATTGTACTGCCTTGTTATCTACCATCGCGGGAGGAGGGCTTGCATCGTCTCCCACGTAAGCTGTGATAGCGAGATGTGGTTTCACGTTTCAAAAGTCAAAAACAAAAACTGAAAATAAAGAAACCACTGGGAGACCGAGAAGCATCGGTTTTATCTATTTCTCCTACAAGTTTTTGACAATTCGGTTTTGGCGCGGCACCTCTTTTCTTGCATCTCTCCCATTTGATGACAGGCCCGCTGGGCACATTTGCCAACCAACGGCAACAAACACCGTCATCGTCACCCGTCTGGATGCAGCAGATCCCGTGTACAATGGATGACCCGTTCATCTCCGACTCCGGCCCAACCGGAGTACTCCCCCAGCAACAACCATACCAACAACGCGAGTCGCATCGATATTCCCCCTTTGGTTCACAGCTCTTCACTCTCGATGCATCCTCACCGTCACAAGTTAAGCGTGCTCTCGAAGCCCATCTAGCGGAAACCGAACGAAGGTTGGAGGATGCATCGAAGCTGGGCACTGCACTCGTGCAGCAGCAAAAGGAACTTTCAGACAAATTAAAGGAGGTTGAACACCGGCAGGACGAGGGCGAAATCGGGCCGGAACTACGGAAGAAGTTGGCGGAGTTGGAGAAGGAATATAATGATATCGGGCGGGAGACTGCTCGTGTATCACTGGGACCTAAACCCCGACTTGTTCCTGATGAGGATGGGCAGGGCACGCCTCAATTTGATGGTCGGGTAAGTGCCTCATCTTGTCTAGAACTAATGGATATTTATTTCACATAAATATTTCATGTTTTTGGTGACTTTTGATTTTAATTTTTGCATCTATTTGCCGACTTTTTTGGTACATATATAGCACCCTACCAGTCCCGCCGTACTCTCCAGTCAGGCCACCAACTCGCCTACAAAGATAAGTGTGCCATCTAGAAGACAACGGAACCAGCAGTCCAGTCGAGTCCATGACATTGAATTTGCAACGGAGATAAGCACGTCATTGCTTGCTCAAGTCCGCCAATTACAAGGGCTCCTTGTAGAGCGGGATGAAACTATAAAGAGCATCAATTTGGAGAAGTCTCGGCTAGAACTTGAAGCAGAAGCCTTTACACAGCGTCTACGCGCTCTCGATGATAATGAACAGCGTTATAAGGACGAGAATTGGAGGCTTGAGACTCAGACACAGGAACTTCTTGCCGCCGCCAAGGAAGCTGCTGCTAGGGAAGAGAAGTTGAAAGCAAGTCTGAATGCTGCCAATGTAGAGAAAACTAAAACCCAGCGAAAGCTTGATGAGTTGAAACAAGCCAACGAGAAGCTTATTGAAGAAAATACGGCTACGCAGAAGACCTATGATTCTGAGCTTCACATTCTTCGAAGAAATGTACATGTCGGAGATGCGGAACGGAGCACTCTCCAGCAAAAGGTCGAAGAACTCACTAACCAAAATCAAGAGCTGGCCAAGGCTGTCGCTGCCAAACTTCGACAGCATGAGGCGGAGGCCACCAGGGACGTCGCTCCAGCGAACGAGGATGATGTAATGGATGAGGCAACCCCGGAAAATTCACCCCCCCCGTCTCCAAATAAGGCAACCCCTCGACATGGGCATTTGGAATCAGAGACGCTGAAAAGTTCTCTACACCACGCTCACCGCATGATCCAGAACCTGAAGAGCAACATCCATCGTGAAAAGACTGAAAAGATTGAACTCAAGCGCATGCTCCAGGAGGCCCGAGATGAGATTGAACAACGACGTGCAGAGACCACTGCCCCGTCTAGCGCCAACAAGCGTCAGAAGGCTAAGCAAGATATATTCAAGAAGCCTCCCCGACCGGAAATGCTTGGTGCCAGGCGTGGCTTTGCCGAGATTGAAATTGAGGAGCCAGATTGGGAAGACCATACTTTTGAAGCAAGCCCCACAAGGAAACCGTCTGGGAGATTCAACACGTTCCCTTCATCTCGCCACTCTCGCACTGAATCTGTTGATCCAGTCGATCCAGTCGATGCAAGTGACGCTTATCAAACTGCCAACGAAACGGAAGACGCCTTTGAAACTGCGAATGAGCGGGATAACGCCACTGAGAGCGACGCCTTCCAGACTGTTGCTGAAAGCTTGGCAGGAGATACGAGTGAAGGGGAACTTACCGAAACTGAAAGTCGTTCAGGGTCTACGGCAGTCATCAGAAGCAAAAAGCCGCTTAAGCTATCTTCCGCAAAACCCGGCGATCGGACGTCTTACATGAGCACGGCATCGACATCGGATGATGATTTTGACGACAATGATTCACGCACTCCCATTCAGATGCAGCCTCAACGTTACAGACTGAAGATGCATCGTGGTAGACGTGGACGTGCGTCTGGCGATATTGGCATGGCACCAGAGAGTGGCAATCTGAGCGCGCGAAACTCGCCAGCTACCAGTTTCTCTCAAGGCCACCCTCCAATCATCCCATCTGGACAGAGCTTGTTTGCGGAATTGGAAGAGCTCAATGGACCAGACAGCTGTAGCGATTTTGGCACGCCTCATCGTTCCACTACAGCATCTCAAACCTCGACGCCAAATGTTTCTCGGTTCATCGACCAACGTCGGCCGTCTGAGGTACCTAGCACGTACTCTGTGACTAGAATAATGGTAGATTCTGGAATGATGACAGAACCGTGGGAAGCTTCTCAACCGACATTTGATGTTGTAGTTCCGTTGACTCCTGTAGAACCAGAGACAAATCTCTCCGATTCAATTATCGCCGTCAGGTCCAAGGATTCAGCGGAATTCGTTGACTCTGCGACGCAGTACACGCCACATAATGAATCTGCTTCTGGAACCGGTGATCTCCCAATTGCCTTTGATACTCCACCTAAGACAATATGGGATGGACCTATCGCCGAAAAACACCATCAGAAGCAACCCGCTGTGGAAGAGCCTTGCTTTTTGGCTAGATCCCCTCCTTTGGAATTGTGTATTTCGCCGATTGTATCTGAAGAAACAGCACCCGTCGCGCCTATTGTTGACAACATGACACAGGCGCCGCAATTTATACCTCAGCTAAATGTCTCCTCAATTGTCTACGAGGAAACTCACCCTGTGGCTGTCCCCGCGAAGGCCGTCATGCCACCCAGACCCTTGGACCTTGTGTTTTCACCAATCCAAACTGAGACAACGGAACCACTGCAGCCAGCTGTCTCAGAAATTATTGAGAAGCCAAGGCAGCAGCTTCAGATTTCGTCGATTTTCACGGAGGAAACGAAACCGGCGGAACCTCAACTATTGGGTGGAGTGGTCACACAACCCAGCCTTTTCCAAAAGAAAGATATTAGTGATACTAAAACCTTGCCCGAAAGACCCAATACTGCAGTACATGTCAACGGAGTTGCGGATCACAACATTGTCGATTTCAAATCCGTAGATGTCGGTACTGATCCCATTTCTCCTATTTATCCACCCGCCGACGAATCCGTTGAGCCGATCGATAGCAAAGTGAAGAAAGATGCTCCAGTGCAATTTGCCAACAATATTATCAGCCAAATTGTTCACAGCTCCGTTACACCGCGTTCCGGATCACCAGTTCCAGACACTGCACTTGCGACTACTGAACATGCAGCTCAGACAATACTTACGGCAATCCAAATTGATCAGCTTCTTATGGAGCGCTCTTCTCATCAGCATGTTGCTTCCGTGGGAAACCCAGAGAGTAAACAACTGCAAGATTCTTCCATTGCTGATACCGCTCCCGGTTCTCCTTCCACACCCAAGGCGAGGCCTCTACATACAGCCCAAAAGGATACATCACAGCCTCCCCAAACTGTCCTCAAGCGCCCTGGAAGTGCTAGTAGTCAACGACACGGCTCAATAACGGTTCATCCACCGTTACCGTATGATCATAAACAAGCTATTGCTGCTGCAACCCAACGACTATCCTCAGAAACTCCCGCCTCTGGGACGATGGGACCGCCACTAGCCCCCGCTTCTGCCTATCGCACCAACATCCAAATCCGACCCCGCACTCCAAATGAGCAAGCATCAAGTATCAAAAATGGTGTCACGTCCCGTGTCCATACTCGACGCAGTAGTCAAATATCTCGCCGCTCGTCGATATCCTCTTTCGCGTCAGAGCTTGACGTACGGTTCAACATGGGCAAATCAGGATATCCTTTCGAGTCCGGGACAGATCCCCGCATGATACAAGCTATCACCCAGACCATGATCGGAGAGTTCCTTTGGAAGTACACTCGTAGAACTGGTCGCCCCGATGTATCCAGTAATAATCGTCACCAACGTTATTTCTGGGTCCACCCGTACACGCGAACTTTGTACTGGAGCGACCAGGACCCACAAACGGCAGGTAAATCGCAACATAAAGCGAAAAGTGTCGCTATCGAAGCTGTCCGCGTCGTTAATGACGATAATCCATACCCTCCTGGCTTGCATTGCAAAAGTCTGGAGATTGTGACTCCCGGCCGTACTCTGAAGTTCACCGCGTCGACAAGCCAAAGACACGAAACATGGTACAATGCACTGTCATATCTTCTTCTGAGAACTGCCGGAGAAGAAGAGGCGGCGGAACGAGGCGACAACCTGAACTCTGACGACATCGATGAATTCAATCCAGCATACCGATCAACATCTCGCACGGGTGGATCGCGTATGTCCATTGCCTCCCGAACCAGTCGGAATGCACGAACCTACTCGAAACATTATCCGGAACCCACGCTAACCATTCGACGTCCAACAACACCTGGCCGCGTATCACCTGCTTTATCCAGTGGTGCCAACTCCACCGCACGGGTCGACCAAGCGCGTCACGGCTCCGTATCCCGCCTCAGCACGATGTTTAGAAATTCAGGCGTGCCAGGGACGTTCTCGAGCCGGCGGAGTAGGTATGGTCATACCGCGGGGAGTGTTGATAGCACTGGCGCTGCAGAGCAGGATAGTGCGGAAGATTTAAGACGTGTTATTGAACAACAGGAGATAGAAGCGGATAGGCTAGAAAATGTGCGGGCGTGTTGCGATGGTAAACTTTAACCTCCTCTTCTTCCTTCTACTGCTTTATTTATTTACCTTTGGGAATTCTCAAATGTCGAACATCTGCTAATATTTCACAAATTTCTCCAATTTAGGCAAGCATGATGTCAGTTCCTTATCTAGGACAAGCAGATATAGCTCGCTTAAAGGCCACAAACACGGATAGTTCGATGCCATTTAAAGGCTGTCTTTCTATCCGACTCCTCCAAGCCTAAACCGGTTGGCTTCCTGCTTAGAAAGGGACGGATACAAGGAGCTTATTCTATCCTGCATGTCTGACGAATTTCCTTATCGGTTTGATACTCTTCACTTTTCCCATTTTGGCCGGTGCATTAATTTCATTCCTCTCGCCTCTCGTTCTTCTCTTTCCCCTGGGCGTTATCCGATTACAACATGTCTGGAGAATACTCCCTTCAAATCCGAACAAAAGACGTATTGTAAAGGGGACAATCCAGGCCAGGGCTGCCCCAAGGGACCTCGGTACTTAAATTGAATTTATCTACCCGCTTTCACCCAAACTCTCAGCTCTTGTTCAATGTGCTCTCTATATTTCCCTTTCAATTTCTTTCATTCATTCTTTCTTTTCTCCCCTTTTTGCAGCTCACCTCCTACCCTACCATTTTCATTTCTCCTACGCCCCCTGATTCTGTTGCACAGGCTCCGTTTGCAATATTTTTATATAATATCGTCGTTTTTTTCCAACTATCTCTGTCCTTGACCTCCCAGATCCCTAGGTATAATCATCCTCGATATTTTGGCTTTTCCTTTGTCTATATATTCTAATGTTCTAGTCCCCAATATGCACTTTCGCCGCCTGCGCTGTTGTCCCTTGTATCACAACAGCTAGTATTGAAACGAGAACAACATCTTCCCCGTCTCTCTTGCTTCTTTCCAAATTTTCTTTTATAATCCGCTGTTACTTTCATCCTTTTCTTTTTTGAAATATGATACAAGGGATATCCCTCTCTTTTCTCTTTCTTCCATGTTGACTACTAGATCGCTATTGGCAATATTTTTTGCTGGTATTTTTTGTTGTATGCCTCCGCTTTTCCCTCATTCTGCTTTGTTATTTTGTTTTCAATGAAAGTTAAATCATATATATATATATATATTCATCATTTTTTGAGGAGTGTTATAAAATCTTTTTTTCCCTACTTTTTTCCATGAAGTATGATAGAGTTGTAGAGTTCATGGAAGGTTTCTGGAAAAATAGCACGTGATTAAAAAAAAAATTATAACTTGACAAAACGTTGGAATCAAACGAACTATCCGCGCCGTCTATTATGTAGTCCCTCCACGCCCACAAACTCCTCTATTATTCCAATTCCCACGGGAAGTAAGCAGTGGTTGTTGAGAGAGATTCGTCTGATGATCAAAGGCCGGTTTCCACTTGGCGTGCTTGATTGCGTGTCCGATGGGTCTATTCACGGGTGCCGGTTCCCCTAGGCGAAGAATCCTTAGATCACCAAGGAGATAAGACCCGTTGGACCAGGATATGTATGCATGCCCCATTTTTTCGTTTTCTGGTTTCTGACAACACGGTTGATATTTGAGTTGATGAAGAACGCTTTTGCTCTCAGAGGTGGGAGCTAGCTTAGGTTAGCTATGCTGAGGAGAGGGAAAGGGATATTGGATATAGAGGCTGTGATAGTGGTCCATGTAATAGTTGCGATGTGCTGCTTACTTCAATCAACTCCGTACATGTTGTCTGTGTGGAGACATTATCCCTATCATCATTGCTTGGCTGCCGGAGATCGTTATATACTCTTAGAATCTTGTGAAAACACCTCATATCCATGAATATCATTTCATTGTGGGATATCCTCTCTGCACACTTTCACGCATTGTATCCGATCGATAAAGACCAGTGTCCACCATATTCATTGGCTTTCATGCTCCCGTACCTCGATCTATTTACCGTTGGCGGAGGCTTTACCTTCAACTTTTTTCTTCTCATTACGCATCGCATCCCGTTCCACTCTGATAAACTCTCCACGCTCGTTTACCAACTTTAAAAGTGTGAACGCATCTCAAGCATGCATGCCTCCCATGAGCCATGAGAGCTGTCAACAAGATCTTCCTGCAGAGATCTTTTCGTCGTGCTGTACTGTTCTTGCTCCTGTTGTGCGCCCTGGTGTTTGCAGGGGTCGTCCTACGGCAGAAGCTTCACCAGCCAAAAGTACAGACCCTCCCTTCATCAACCCAGTGTTTTGGCGAATTTTTGACGTCCAATGTTTGTTTGTTCCGCTTACATTTATACGGAAGAATAACTAATGCGATCTGCGATTTGCCCGACGTTCCTTTGAGAATAATAGAGACAGTTTTCAATCCCGCAACAACAATATTTTACGGAATCTCGCCAGTATCCCAGGTCCGTTCTATAGATATCCATATTTATCATCAATATGCCCTTTGGTTAAATTATTCCAAAACAGTTGGTGTGCTGACTCTGGATCGTTTTGCTACTCCATAGCGTATTCAGGAACTTCGTCTCGACTCTATCCCATCTCACTACTCCCGAACACTACAGCAACTCAGAAGTCGTAGATGACCCTCGCTTCGAGGCCAAGAGCGCACCTGACATCCCCAAGATATACCGTCCTTACCCAAATTATGAGAGTCTTCTCTGGAAAAGTTCCCATCGTGGAAGATTCAACCCGTGTGAAGGGCCGAGGGGACAACCCATATCAAAAAATCTGGATGACCAGGTTGGCGTTTACTTAGGCGATCTAGGTATATACCATATACATTTATTCTGTCCTGTTTATTCTTCCAGGCTAACGTGCTTTTATTCAAATAGGGTTCCCTGAACCCATGTTTGGCTCTCACGAAGCTGTAGGATTTAATGGAGATGTCTTCTTCGACCGCTATACGAGATACGGCGCGTATGGTTATGGAGAGAATGACTCATTTGTTAAAAATTGGAAGAAACCGGCCAAGGTCCAATGGGACAAGGTCAATTGGGGGAAATTGCAAGAGCAATGCTTCCTGAAAAACGCAGATAGATTCTCGGCGGATCTGTCCCTTCTTGCGGATTTGCCGCAAGATTCCCCGAGGCGCCAGATCGAGCCCGAGGCCCGTACGGCTGTCCTTATTCGCACATATGTTGGGAAAACGTATTCCGATAATGACATGCAAACGATCCGTTCGCTGGTTTCGGAGCTATCGCTGCAGTCTGGGGGCGAGTATTCGGTCATCTTACTCCTGCACGTGAAGGACGAGGAGATTGAGATTGAGAAGGATGAGGTATACCAGCAAGTTGTGGAAGAGAATGTGCCTAAGGAATTCTGGGATATGACTGTTCTATGGAATATTCCTGTTGTGTCAAAGCGCTACCCACGCCTTGTGAAGATGAAACTTACCGAGTGAGCTTTTATGCCAACTCATTTTGTATTTGGGGATCTAAAAGAAAAACCGTCGTGAATCACTACTAAACCTTTGACCTTACACCAGCGTCCATGGCACCCCAATGGCTCTCCCGTCCAACATTTCGCCCTTACTCACCCACAATACAAAATACATCTGGAACTGGGAACTCGACTCCCGCTTCACAGGCCACCACTACAAATTCACCAACAAACTTGACATCTTCGCCTGCTCCCAACCGCGCCGGGGCCTCTGGGAACGGAACGCCCGTTTCTACATCCCCGCCCTGCACGGTAGCTACAACCACACCTTACGCACCATTGTACAACGCTTTGAAAACGAAGCCGTCTGGGGCGCTATGCCCATCGACCATCCGCACCCGCGGCCTATTGGGCCCTCACCGCCTGTAGGCTCGCCAGACAAAGACACGGATTACAAATGGGGCGTCGGCGAAGATGCAGATTACATCGGCTTCCTCCCCATCTTCCACCCTATCGGCACGGAGTGGGTCATCCGCAACGAAATCTACGGCTACCTCGGCCAAGCAACGCCACGTCGCGCATCTCTGATCACGCACTCGCGCTTATCCAGACGGCTGCTCCTCACGATGGATCGGGAGAACATGTTCGGCAGACACATGTCCTCAGAGCTGTTTCCCGTCTCGACCGCGTTGCTGCATGGCTTCAAGGCCGTCGCGGCGCCGCATCCCATCTACTCTGATAAAGATCTTCCGGCGGAAAGTGCAGATCGCTGGTTTAATCCGGGAATTAATGGGCGCTCGGGCAGCTCTCAGGATAGTCCCTTTGGGTGGAAGAGGGAGTCGAGGTTTTTGGATTTGTCGTGGTATTATCGGGCGAATTTGGCGGGGAGGTTGTATTGGAATTTTTTGGGGTGGCGGAAGGATTGGACGGGCGGTCGAGTTGTGAGTCTTTTTAATTTCTTTCCCTCTCTTCCACCCCCTCCACTTCTTTGTCTCTCTCTCTCTCTTCAGTTAGTCTTCCCCTCTCTCCCTTTTGTACTGTACTAACGAATTTGACTTAACTTGCCTTTTACAGTACGAATTCATACACGGACGTGTCATCCTGCCGTCAATACTTTTCCATCCCATCAAAGATGTTCGCCCGGATGCTAACAGTATGGGATATGACTTTAATTTCCAGCTTTGAGACAAAAGCTTGGAGATGGTGTTTGATCCTTTTGAGGGGAGACAGGGGAAGGTATTCTGTATAAATAGAACTCAGCTCCTCCTTTCTTTCTGGAATATGGCATGAGAGCGTACGTTGTTGTGATGGGTTCGGACCAAGGAGTTTTCCCTAGTTTGCGCGACATAGTCCTCTATTTTTTATTTTTTATTTTGGCTGTATATTTTATCCTTCCCCCTGATTCCCTACTCCATTTCCACGATGCTGGTGTCCTCCCCACAATCCAGTTTCTCTCTAATGCCTACGGCCTATTTGATTTGTGCTGGTTCAGTTCCCTGTACATATTTTACTTCGCGAATATAAACTAGAGGAAGGGCGTGGCTTTGCTTACTTCAATTTTCTTCATCCTTCAATTTTTCATGTATTTTTCTTTTTTCTTTGAATATCTATCGCCAGTCGATACTCTCATGTTACATATATTTACACGTATGGATAAGGGACGGAATGCGGATCGGTCATCGTATATGCTATCAGTCGCATGATAAGAAAAATGCCGAAACGACATGATTTCCATGATCTACACAGCTGTACGGAGTATAGTACACGAATATTTCAACTGGTTATATTTGTGTCAATTGACCTAAAATTAGCCCAATCCCGGCCTCGGTGAACTTCCGCAAACCGAACTCGCATTCTGGATTTTATCTCAGTGCCTCAGATGCTTCACGAAGAATTCGCCTGTTTTAACCCAGCCAATCAGAGAACTATATTATCTCTAATCTGCCACCAAATCCTATTTGAATGACAATTTTCTGAAATAGCCATATATCATATTAATTTGTGTATTCAAGCATTAATTATATAGATCTGTGATGGAGTGGCTCATGAAGTAAATGTTGGCATCCCTAATGCCTGTTCATGCCACGTGACTGCCCCTATTTAAGCAGCGCTCCCCCCGCTACATAGTTACAATGAACCATCCGCAAAAGAATTTTCAATTAACTCTCATACAGACTGCGACGATTAGTTCTCAGACATCGGAACTGGATAAAGTCCAAATATTGACTCAAATACTGAATATTGATAGATAAAATTGAATTGATTATTCTCCCTCTAATAATTACATGATAGCTAGGCAGTATTTATAGGTCAGAGAATGCTCAATCATATAAGAAGAGCAATACTCAGTTTCATACATTGAAACATTGTAAGTAGTAGATATCAAGGTGTGAAACGTTTCATGTATGTATGAGATATCATCTCTGACACTGAGGATTTATGCCATCGTTTCCTAATGTGTGTTAGCCTAACTGTAACCAGTGGTTATATGAAGCTTTTCACGCAGAGTGTCCGAGTTCCACCAATATAATTCTGGATCTGGATTCCCGGCCGAGTCACCTGATCCTTCTGACCGTTGGACTTCTCTCCGTTTGCAGGCTGGGTTGGACAATTCGAACTTGAAATCCCAGCTTGTTCCTGCATGCTCCTCTAACCGGTTTCTATTTGCTATAAGATACACATGAAATTTCGCTCTGCGGGGCTCCTGCCTCCATGCTAACAAGAGGCCACACAGCATACCTAGAGCTTTCGGGATAGCTCCTCAGCCAAACCTGAACGAGAAGCTCCGGGGCAGAGCGCAGTGGGGAATAAACTACCCCACAACCATTTTAGACAGTAGAAGCTCCATTCTTCCTTTCTCACCTCTTTCCGCGTTGATCTCCCGCCCTTCTTACACTGCTCGCTGCATGCACCGTCTCACCAGCAGAGAGAACAGGAGAGAAGCGTTTTCAGCAGAGAGCAGAGAGCAGAAAGCTACAAGCGATATACCGTCGCGAGCTATTGAACTTCCTAATTCAGCTATCGGCCTGAAGCGTGTTTTCATTTCGTCCTACGAGCCGTTCATAAATATATTCCACGAGAAAAATGGCATCCAACGACCCGCCAGCTTTCCCCGAGCGCATGATGAGCATGGCGGAGCCGGGCATGCTGTTCATGGGATCGGTGTATCGTGAGTGGCGAACCAGCTTCCTTTCTATTTCTTTCTATTTATGTCCCCCTCCCGCATTCTGTCTGCTGTGTTTTAGTTTTTGCACAGCTTGCACATTCCATAATCTTGCATCATTGCAGCATTGCAAGCGATCCTTTTCTCGCCTGCCCCTTTTTATTGTGGATGCCACTCCCTAGCGAATGTATTCGGGCTGCGATTGCGATTCGCGGTGTGCGGGTTTTGATTGCACCTTAGGAGAAGAAGGGTTCAATTGGCTCCGCAATGATTTCGGCTCCCCCCTTCCATTTTTTGCCTAAACTGCCCTTGGATGCGGATATACTCCCTCTGATACTCCTAGAACTACATAATACGGTATGAAGCTTGCGCTTGGATAGGGGATTATGTTTGGAATCGCCCACTTCATGAAAGTGCCTGTTATTACCTACCCACCCCTGGACCCTGGAGCACTTAGCTCTTCCTCAATGC